CACCCACAGTACCGGTGGTTATCCCTCCTGGTAATTCACCCTGCCGCTGGGGAACAAGACCGGTTGTCTCCGTTCCCTGAAATTTACACTGCTGCTATGGAGGAAGGACAGAACATTTCTCTCCCTGGACCTCATACTGCCATTGGGAGACAAGACCGGTTGTCTCTGTGATCAATGTGGTGACTATAATTAATTTAATAATTGTTAACTACAAGTTAAATTGCCTGAAGTTGAGCCGCTGTTGTGTTAGAATTATCCTTCTGAGAGTATAATGCGTACAAGAGTAGATTTTGATCTGATCACTGTAAAAAGTCTGCATAACCCTCTTTTATTGTCAAAATATAATACACTATTGTTTGTTTTTTTGTTTTGTTTTTTTCACTGTTAAGATCTGTGGACCAAAGAACAATTATAGCAACTTCTAATTTACACTGTATGTATACAGGGAGTGCAGAATTATTAGGCAAGTTGTATTTTTGAGGATTAATTTTATTATTGAACAACAACCATGTTCTCAATGAACCCAAAAAACTCATTAATATCAAAACTGAATATTTTTGGAAGTAGTTTTTAGTTTGTTTTTAGTTATAGCTATGTTAGGGGGATATCTGTGTGTGCAGGTGACTATTACTGTGCATAATTATTAGGCAACTTAACAAAAAACAAATATATACCCATTTCAATTATTTATTATTACCAGTGAAACCAATATAACATCTCAACATTCACAAATATACATTTCTGACATTCAAAAACAAAACAAAAACAAATCAGTGACCAATATAGCCACCTTTCTTTGCAAGGACACTCAAAAGCCTGCCATCCATGGATTCTGTCAGTGTTTTGATCTGTTCACCATCAACATTGCGTGCAGCAGCAACCACAGCCTCCCAGACACTGTTCAGAGAGGTGTACTGTTTTCCCTCCTTGTAAATCTCACATTTGATGATGGACTACAGGTTCTCAATGGGGTTCAGATCAGGTGAACAAGGAGGCCATGTCATTAGATTTTCTTCTTTTATACCCTTTCTTGCCAGCCACGCTGTGGAGTACTTGGACGCGTGTGATGGAGCATTGTCCTGCATGAAAATCATGTTTTTCTTGAAGGATGCAGACTTCTTCCTGTACCACTGCTTGAAGAAGGTGTCTTCCAGGAACTGGCAGTAGGACTGGGAGTTGAGCTTGACTCCATCCTCAACCCGAAAAGGCCCCACAAGCTCATCTTTGATGATACCAGCCCAAACCAGTACTCCACCTCCACCTTGCTGGCGTCTGAGTCGGACTGGAGCTCTCTGCCCTTTACCAATCCAGCCACGGGCCCATCCATCTGGCCCATCAAGACTCACTCTCATTTCATCAGTCCATAAAACCTTAGAAAAATCAGTCTTGAGATATTTCTTGGCCCAGTCTTGACGTTTCAGCTTGTGTGTCTTGTTCAGTGGTGGTCGTCTTTCAGCCTTTCTTACCTTGGCCATGTCTCTGAGTATTGCACACCTTGTGCTTTTGGGCACTCCAGTGATGTTGCAGCTCTGAAATATGGCCAAACTGGTGGCAAGTGGCATCGTGGCAGCTGCACGCTTGACTTTTCTCAGTTCATGGGCAGTTATTTTGCGCCTTGGTTTTTCCACACGCTTCTTGCGACCCTGTTGACTATTTTGAATGAAACGCTTGATTGTTCGATGATCACGCTTCAGAAGCTTTGCAATTTTAAGAGTGCTGCATCCCTCTGCAAGATTTCTCACTTGCCTAATAATTCTGCACTCCCTGTATCTATATTTAAGCGCAAATCACCTTATTGTGTTGTTTTTTTTTTGTGCTTTATTTACACGAGGTTATGGGAGCTCTGTGTTGGTGAATTACTGCTAACTTGTAGGATATAGAGTTCCTATTTAGTGTTTTGATATGTATATCACATTTCCCAGAGCCTAGAAGGTACCCGGCTCTAGGTTACAAGAACTCTGTATCAAAACAAGGTTCTTGTAGTCACCTAGACTTAAAGGGCAATTAAGCAATAGGCAATGTCGGTGAAGTTGAATGGGACAGTGATTATTGTTTGGTACCAGCCATCAGTTAGCTGTATAGAATCATTGCATGTGATAAATGCTGAGAAGCAGTTTAATTATTTCTTAAAAAGCAAGTACATCCCACAAAGAACAGATTAGATATATCATAGAGTATTACAGTATTACACTGATTTTATATAAGAACCATTTCTGAATTACAACTAAATATGTAATATACAAAGAGACACTTGAAATATAAAGAGAATATCACAGGAAAGGAAATTAAAAGGGACTCTCACCAAAATGGCCACCAATAAATGTATCAAAGAAATGTCTTGTTGTTTGAGATTTTACCCGAGAAACCTGTTTCTTCAGGGGAGACCGGAATTTGAAGCAAAAAAAAGTTATATTAAAACAAAACCAAAAACTTCCTCTTAAGCAAAGAAAACGGGTTTTAGGTTTTACAGATGTGGAACCTGCTTGGTCTGTAGGAGTATGGGAAATGAAAGAAGACATAACTAATTTTAAAGACACCGCATATAAGAGGGAAGTCCTTTTAAAATTAGATTTCATTACATGTCACTCTATAAATTTCATTTATTTTATGTAGCAAACTCACCCCTTTAAGGGAGTTTGCCATGAGTATTTGGAGGGGCTGCTTGCCCACCTCCTGCCCTGTGACTATGGCCCCTGGGATGTATTGCCCTTTAAGAGCGTTATTTGCGCATTATGGATTTTTATTGTGCTGCTGCTGGCCCTTTAACTCATAGGAAAAGGATCTGTACTTATAAACTGGCACTTCGGATGCAGCCAAAGTGCCAAAGTAGTCGAAGTGGCCGCCAATCGAAAACCGAACACGTGGCGGTGGTCATTTTAATTCATTCGAACGTGGTCAGCGGTGTTTTGCTGTTGAGTTCATGGAACTAAAATCGGCTACTCGACGGCATGAACACTGCTGAATGTTTACCTTCCCTGAAACTAATTGATTCGACAATTTGAATGCCGTTTGACAATTTGAGCGCGGTTCAACAGTTTGTTCGACAATTCAAACGGCTGTCGTTCGTCTGTTTGAACTGACTTTAACATGGGAAATAGACCGGCCGCACAACTCAAATCTCTGGAACTGTTTTGGGCATGAAAATGTGCGTGCGTGCGTGCAGTCGGTCAAAATATGACTTCCAGCAAACTCCTGAACGGCTGAACGGATTCAAATGATTTTGTGATATGTTTATTCCCTATGTATGCTGATTCAGAAAATAAGTTTTATGCGAATGTGATGTATAGTTTTAAAGTTATAGAAATTGGGTAAAAATGTGTGTTTAAACTGTACAGTTAATTGTGTTACCTCCCCTTAGGCTAAGGGGAGGGGATATGTGGGATGTAACCAGTTAGCGATTGGATGGTTACTGATTGTCTCTGGGTGTCTCCCTTGCATGGGAGAATTGCATAAAAGCAGAGTATGTGTCATTAAACCTCAGTTCTACTTCACCCTCAATTTAGAGTACTGTCTCTTATTGGGGGAATGTGCTACAAGTGATTGCTATGCTTGTCATACTCTCTTGCTATAATCACTAAGCTCTTATAAGAGTTTGTTCCTGTTTTGCTACCTGAAGGAGTCTACGGTAGTTATGGTGTCTGCTGGAGTGCTTGGAAGCGCTAGGAGTATCCTTCAATGGAGGTACCCAGTCGGGGTGCCAGGTGATCCGTTACATATGCCCATGTATGTTTTATTATAAATTTGAAGGTCATCGTGTTTCAACATTTTAGAATTGTACATATTGGGGACCCAAAGGGTTTATATAGTTCAAAGTCTAAGTTAAAACCAAAAGGCTGCATTGTGTAGATTTTTAATACTGGAGTAATGGAGCCTTTCAACTTTTTAACTTGATTATTTAATAATTTAAATACATTTTAATTAATAAATTGAGTGAAATATGTATTAAAATATTATATTGCAAATTGTCTGTCTTTTGAGGTATTATTTTATAGAAATCAATTGTTACGAAAACCCCCATTACCCTGGCACAGGGTAGCCAGCATTCTCCCCAGTGACTATGGGCTTTGGCTTAGAAAGGTGTTCTGTTTTTGTGAAGTGGTTAGATGGACAGTTGGGATGACTTCTCCTGGTATGGGTTTGCAACGTTTCTCTGAATAACTAGTGTAGAAGACTAGAGATGAGCGGACACCTGGATGTTCGGGTTCGCCGGGTTAGGCCGACCTTTGGCAAAAAGTTCAAGTTCGGCCTCGAACTTGACCCGAACTTGACCCTAAATGCCATTGAAGTCAATGGGGACTTGAACTTTTGGGCACCAAAATGGCTCTAAAAAAGTCCTGGAAAGGGCTAGAGGGCTGCAAAAGGAAGTATAATGTGGGTAAGAGTAGGCCCCAAAATATTGGGACATATAAAAAAAAGAAAACAAAGAATAAGTGCACTTGAGTATAACAATATCTGGGTGAGGCCGGTATAAATGTCTATTTTGCACAAGGTACAGACAAGTCTGGTGGGATCCATGCCTGGTTCATTTTAATAAACATGAGCTTGTCCACGTTGGCTGTGGACAGGCAGCTGCGCTTATCTGTGATAAAGCCCCCTGCCATGCTAAACACACATTCAGACAATACACTGGCTGCAGGGAAGGCCAGCATTCCCAAGGCATAATGGGCAAGCTCAGGCCATGTGCCCAATTGGAGACCCAGAAGTTGAATGGGGCAGACCCATCAGTCAGTACATGTAGGTGCATGTACACGTACTGTTCCACCATGCTGGTGGTGCTGGTTGTTGTGGCGTGCTGACAAAGCTTTTACACATTTTGGACATGCTAACCCTGCCTTCTGAGGTGCTGGCGGTGCCCCCAGCTGTGTTGGCGACCTCTTCCTCCTCCTCTACCTTTGCCTTGTGCTTCCAATGAGCCCCTGTTGTCAGTTGGAAATGCCCTCAGCAGCGCGTCTACCAGCGTGCGCTTGTAGTCGTGCATCTTCCGATCACGCTCCAGTGAGGGAATTAAGAACGGCATGTTGTCCTTGTAACGGGGATCCAGCAGACTGCCACCCAGTAATCAGCACAAGTTAGAATGTGGGCAACTCGGCAGTCGTTGCGCAGGCACTTTGGTGACTCTAGATAACCTCGGGCCGATCGCACGTCCCCATGACGGTGACGAGGCATTCGGATGTCTGCCCTATCAACTTTCGATGGCACTTTTTGTGCCTACCATGGTGACCACGGGTAACAGGGAATCAGGGTTCGATTCCGGAGAGGGAGCTTGAGAAACGGCTACCACATCCAAGGAAGGCAGCAGGCGCGCAAATTACCCACTCCCGACGCGGGGAGGTAGTGACAATAAATAACAATACAGGACTCTTTCGAGGCCCTGCAATTGGAAGAGTACACTTTAAATCCTTTAATGAGGATCTATTGGAGGTGCAAGTCTGGTGCAGAGCGACTGACCCATGCGTGCTGCAGCTGAAACTCCACTATCGCCTGTTGCTGCTCGCACAGTCTCTCCAGCATGTGCAAGGTGGAGTTCCACCTTGTGGGCACGTCGCATATAAGGCGGTGAGCGGGATGACGAAGTTACGCTGCAGCGCAGACAGGCGAGCAGCAGCAGGGTGAGAACAATGAAAGCGCGCACAGACAGCCCGCACTTTTTGCAGCAGCTCTTATATATCTGGGTAGTTTTTCAGGAATTTCTGCACCACCAAATTCAGCACACGTGTCAGGCAAGGGATATGCATCAAACCGGCTAGGCCCAGAGCTGCTACGAGATTTCGCCCATTATTACAAGGCCGGGCTCGAGTCTCAGTGGCAACAACCACTCATCGGTCTGTTGTTCCATGCCCGTCCACAACTCCTGCGCAGTGTGTGTTTTATTCCCCAAACGTCTGAGTTTTAAAACAGCCTGCTTTCCCCCTTGCTGTGGAGACGTTGGTAGTGAAGATGCTACGTTGCCCAGATGAGGAGGTGGTAGAGGAGGAGGAAGCAGAGTAGGAGGAGGAGGCAACCGGAGGCAAAGAGAAATGTCCTGCAATCCTTGTGGTGGAAGAACATGCGCCAAACTGCTATCCGCCTCAGGCCCAGCTGCCACTACATTTGCCCAGTGTGCAGTAAGGGAGATATAGCGTCCCTGCCCGTGCTTACTGGTCCACGTATTATTGGTTATGTGGGCCTTGCCACAGATGGCATTGCACAGTGCACACCTGATTTTGTCTGCCAATTGGTTGTGCAGGGAAGGGATTACTCACCTGGAAAAGTAGTGGCGGCTGGGAACCACGTACTGTGGGACAGCCACCGCCATCAGGTTTTTAAAACTATCCGTCTCCACCTGACGGAATGACAGCATTTCAAAGGCCAGGGATTTTGAAATGCTGGCATCCAGGGCCAGGGATCGTGGGTGGGTAGGAGGGTACTTCCTCTTTCTCTGCAGTGGTTATTTTATTTTTATTTTTATTGTACTGCAAAAAATGCACCACAGGCCAAACATTTTCTACTAAGCACAAAAAAAGTGTGATTTTTTTAAACCAACAATGTAACAGTAGTATTTAAGGGTTATATTGGACTGCAAGAAATGCACTGCATGCCACAAATATACTACTTAGCACCAAAATAATTTTAATTTTTCAAAGTGCGATGTAACCACAGTATTTGACAGTTCTATTTGACTCTCAGATATGAAGTGCATGCCCCAAATTTACTTTTTAGCACCCAAAAAAATTTGAATTGGTCAAACTGCGATGTAACCACAGTATTTGACGATTCTATTTGACTCTCAGATATGAAGTGCACACCACAAATGTACTTTTTAGCACCCAAAAAATGTGAATTGTTCAAACTGCGATGTAACCACAGTATTTGACGGTTCTATTTGTCTCTCAGATATGAAGTGCACCGCAGGCCGCAAAGGTACTATTTAGCACCCAAAAAATTTGAATTTTTCAAAGTGCGATGTAACCACAGTATTTGACGGTTCTATTTGACTCTCAGATATGAAGTGCACGCGACAAATGTACTTTTTAGCACCAAAAAAATGTGAATTAGTCAAACAGCAATGTCACAGCAGTATTTGACGGTTCTATTTGACTCTCAGATATGAAGTGCACGCCACAAATGTACTTTTTAGCACCAAAAAAATGTGAATTGGTCAAACTGTGATGTAACCACAGTATTTGATGGTTCTATTTGACTCTCAGATATGAAGTGCACCGCAGGCCGCACATGTACTATTTAGCACAAAAAAGTGTGATTTTTTTTAAACCAACAATGTAACAGTAGTATTTAAGGGTTTTATTAAACTGCAAGAAATGCAGTATGCAAATTTACTATTTAGCACCAAAAAAATAGCAGTATTCAAAAATGCTTAGATGTTGCCCACTGAGCTACCAGAAGAAGATTAAAGTCATGTGCCTGGCACACATGCAGTTGCAAGTGCACTGCACTCTCTGTGGCACTGGTCACAGGGCAGGGCACAAAAATGTATAGCACCCACTAAAATAATCGCTGTCGTTTGCAGATTTAACACCAGAATTCTTTCCTAATCTGTCCCTCACAGCTGCAGCATCCTCTCCCTACACTAATAACAGCTCATCTGACATGCGGCGCTACACGACTACAGCTTATATATAGAGGCTGGGTCACATGCTGCACTGGCCAATCACAGCCATGCCATTAGTAGGCATGGCTGTGATGGCTTCTAAGGGCACACGAGTCAAATGCTTGTTGATTGGCTGCCCTGCAGCCTTTCAAAATGCGCCATTAAATCCCCGAACACCGAACTCCAACCCGAACATAGACTGAAATGTTCGAGTCCGGGGTCCAAAAAACATAATGTTCGGTACGAACCCGAACTTTACAGTTTGGGTTCGCTCAACTCTATAGAAGACGATTCTCCTTCTTACAATTGCTCGTTATCTGGTTTAAAATTGGATATTCTACGTTATGTAGCTGTGATTGAATTGAATATATTGAGTGTCAAGATTGTTTGTGCCTTTCTCTCCCCCCATTTCCTGTCTTATTGTTTTTCCAGCAGGACATTGTCCCATTGTTTCAGGGGCACTTCCAGACTGTCACAAACGTATCTGCCCCAGGTGCCCGCGCTGCTCCCCTTGTCAAGTCGCACGAGTGAAAATGCTTCTGAACACTGAATATAGTACACTTGCCATTCAGCCCCTGGACGGCTCCCTCCTGGCAGGCGTGTGCCGAAATCCATGCATGCTGTTTCTTCCCTCTATCAGTATAGACGCTGCCTGCTTTTTTGGCGCTTCTTTTATGTTTTGACCACCTCATCTAGGTGGACCCATATTCTATCAATTTGTAATTGCAGAGATAACGTGGAGCAATCGGAAAGTGTGTTAGTCTATATAAAATTAATTTGGGCCCTTGTTCATTGCCTTATCATGAATTCTGCCTTGATACACATTAGAGGTGTAGTAAGTCTCCCTTGATATTCTGATATTGACCTTGACTTGTATTTGACTTTGTGTATTTCTGGTATCCTGACCCAGCTTGTTATTCTGTTTATCCATATGTCTATATCCCAGACCTTGTATATTCCTGTATCTGTTTTTATCTGTATTAACATTAAGTCTGGCTACTTTAAGTCCCGATGATAGGTCTATATAGAATCTCTGTTTGTGAGATTCGACATTCCTGTAATTAGGGGGTGTGACCCATTTCACACAGACCAGTTCAAAGTGGTTTCTCTGTCACTACTTTAAAGTCCCATGTGGTCCTCAGCCTTTTTAAATGTCTGTCCCCACCCTTCCTTTTAACCGCAGTGTTTCATTCAAACTAGTTGTAATGTAATTAAACGTTGTAGTATAATTGGTTACTAGCCCAAGTCCACACCGCTATCGGTTGACTTGAGCTCAGTGTGCTGTTTGGGAGAGTGTTACAGTGGAGGACCTGGAGGGGAACTTTGTCATTGGGGGTTTAAATAGATGTGCTATTTTTAATAAAGCTCAGTTGTATTTCATTTTATGCTGTGTCTTGACTAGTATTTTGGTGTGGCTATAATCACTGCCATGCAAGAATCACTGTCCTATAGTAGAGAAGGTCTCCAGAGCTATAATCACTGCTGCCTGAAGTGGTCCTCAGAGACGCCTGCCAAGCTTCCGCAACTAAAGTGCTCCAGAGTTCCTGGTGGCAGAGAAGAAGCTGACCTGGTGGAGATACTCAGTCAGAGTACAGGAGCACCGTCGCAAATCAATTTCCTGAGATTATGACAGACATTTTCCAATGCTTCAGTATTTAACAAACACATTATCACAGCAGACAGCTTTAGTATCCAATCAGAAACCTCCCTGTCTTGATATAGTATGGTTCCATCTAAACTGACACATTGACCATAATTACACAAAGTTTAACTCCTTAATAAAAATATCCTCCAAAATTATTTTTAAGGATGTGCATGATCTAAAAATTTGGTTTAGTTCGGAAATTCGGGTAAGCAAGAAAAATTTGTCACCTCGGCAATTCGGCACTTTGGTTTGGTTCGGCACATTCAAAATTCGGGACTTCGGCAATTCGGGACTTCGACACTTTAGTTCGTTTGGCACATTCAAGATTCGGGACTTTGGAATTTGGAACATCTGTAGGGCTTCCTAACCCTACTCCTAAACCTACCCTAACCCTACCCCTGTCACATTTCCCCTAACCCTGTCACCTTTCACATAATTTGCCCTACCTTTCTTGTTTTGCCACTTTTCAGAAATCCGAAGCACTTCGGCAATTCAATTTGGCACTTCTGGAATTCGGCAATTGGGCACTTCGGTTTGGCACTTCTGAAATTGGGCACTTCTGAATGTCTGAATTGCCCGAAATTCGTCCAGATTAACATTCGGACCGAAATTAATTGCACATGTCTAATTATTATATTTCCAAACACACAGCTAAATTTCCAAGTTTAAGACATATCTATATCTGTCAGCAAGGATTGCCATGAAGACTTTCCAGCAATCCAGGACAATGTATAACAAGCCCAAAGCTAAACTAGTATGGTACTGTAATTAAAGGTACGGAACTGGTACCTTTAATTGTACTGAAAACACGTACCATAGACATTAATGCAGTGGAAGCCATTATCACACAATATGTCTTGAATAGTGATGCACCGAACGGTTCGCTGGCGAATAGTTCCTGGCGAACATAGCGTGTTAGCGTTCGCCATGGCGGGCGAACATATGCGCGGTTCGATCCGCCCCCTATTCGTCATCATTGAGTAAACTTTGACCCTGTACCTCACAGTCAGCAGACACATTCCAGCCAATTAGCAGCACACCCTCCCTAGCAGACCCTCCCACCTACTGGAAGGCATCCATTTTACATTCATTCTCAAGCTGCATGTTTAGTGAG